AGTTAGATATCTAAAAAAGTACTGAATTTTGTGTGTCAAAATCTGCCAAAAATTTTAAATTTTAAGCTTTCAACAACATTTTGAGCTAAAAAATGTAGTGCACTTATACTAGATTTTAAGAACAGTGATGAGTGGTTACGACGATATTTTATGCTAAAAGAAAAAGAAAGAAGAAGAAGACAGGATTTTTAACATAATGGCATAGTTCCATTAGGAAAATGTAAAATAATGATTTGAGTAGAGAGAATGCGTGCCTATTGAATTGAATATGTTTGCCACCTACAGATTTGTAGATCATTATCGATTTGTATAGCTGGTTTGCATCATTATCATTCTTGGTAGATTCTGCATTTGTTAGTAATGGAGCACGCTACAATTTGTTGGCACTTTGAGCTCAGTGATTTATCAGATGCCAACAAAGAGCCCGCGGGTGAGATACACCCGTAGCCAATCATGCTGGAATTGATTTTGAAGCTAATCTTATGCTTCGGGAACTTTTCCATATTCAGATGTATGAATTCTACAGCAACACTACTGGGGAGGCCAAAGAGGAGGCCAAGGATATCATTGAATCCGGTTGTCGACATTTCATAGCTCATATGTTCGGGGATGACAATGCTGAGGTAGTCATTTATTAAAACCCATTTTTGTTCTGTAATATCACCGACACATTAATTCTGGACAAAATCAAAGATGGAGCAGAATTTACATTGTACAAAAATTAAAAATTCAAGATTCATTGGTTTAAGGGGATAAATATGTACATATTATATCCCTTTTAAGGGTTGACCGCGTTTTATTTCCCTAAAAGTTGAAGCTGCCTTTTTAAGGAAGTAGAGGAGTTACGATTGGCTGGAACTGTGTCAAAACAACATTTAGCTGCTAAATTGGCAACCCATGCATTAGAGGTGTCAAATGAGGTGGACAGGAAGAGAGCTGAGTATGTTTTTTGAAATAAATTCCAATTCATTAGTAGTTTCCGTTCCTCAAGAAATGAACATTATTTTATAGAGGCTCCTTATCCATCTGTAGTCGTATCTACCTAGGCTATGATGGTTCTTGTGAATGTCATAACCATGCTGAAAGTTGTGACAGCGTACGTCATAATTGTCTAA